TCGCCTGGATCCCAGCCAGCAAAGGATGCTGTAAAAGCTTGTCTGGCTGCTTGGGCAATGTGCAGAATTTCCCATGGACAGTGTAATTTTGCTGAGGCCAGAAAATCAGAATGTTTATATTAGTGGAAAGATGAAGGTAGGCTTGAGATCAAAGCAGGAAATCTGCATTCAATTCCCTGCTCCAGCAGAGCTTTTCCTTGTGGTCTTGGGCAAACCAAGTAAAACTCCCATGCTTTATACCCTGCACCGTATAAGAAAAAATATACTGCCTTCTGGTTTTTGTCTAGACTATGTAGACAGTGAGCACCTGGGGAAGAAGAAGTCTTTCACCATGTATTTATACTGTGCCTGGCTCAGGGGCATCAGTCTTCAATATCCTCTCAGCACAAATAATGAAGAATAACAGATAAGTTAAAATGAGAATTGTTACACAAACGCACAATAACCAAATCCAGCCTAGCCGTGGTACTCGGTGTAATTGCCCGTGAGTCAGTATCTCTCAGCGTCATCCCACGTCGATGCAGTGCCACCAGACAGGAGGTGGCAATGCCAGGCCGTTCTGCTGGGTTTAGTCCCTGTTTCTGTGTCCCCATACTCCCCACGATCTCCTCTCCTACCCTCCAGGCTGCTCAGGAAGACCAGGAGGAGCTCACATCAGGTGGGGGAAGCAGTCACAGCCCCGGAGAGCAGGGTGATCCATTTTGCATCTGCTTTTGGGAGCCAGAGCCCTTTGCATACCGCCGATTACACACTGCCCAGGCACCAGCAATGGCTTTGCCCTGGGAAAGGAAAGGGCAGGACAAGGCAGGGAGTTCCTCAGCCCTCCTTACTCTTAGGGCTGTTTGTCCTGAGCAGATTTATGCACGTGACGTGTTCTCACTAGCAGGGTTTGTCTCCCCACTGTGAGCTCCGAGCACAGGAACCCTTTTGAACAAGACAGGGCAGAGAGAGCACTATAAAGAAAGCAGGGAGGGTTTTTTTTTGTTTGTTTTGTTTTTTTTTTTCCCAAACAGGCATATGCAGAACAGTAGAGGAGTACAAGGGGGACAAGGAGGCAGCATATCCTCCTACCCCAATACATGAAAAATAATCTCCCAGGCTGACCCAGACACCTAAGACACACGACAAAAATATAAGCTACGTGACTAGCTGGAAGAGAAAGAGAAAGCAGGAAAAATCTATCAGAGCTTTCCATGGTTCAATCAGTCAGAGCCTGCTCCACTGGGAAAACAATCAATTAACCACTTCCACTAGTGCAGACACAGACGGGCTACTCTGGAGGTAGTAAATCTTTGAGTTTATTTGTTCTCAGTTGACTCTCAACTTATTTACAGCATGGCAGAAGTCTTCCTCCTTGCTTTTCCTCACTCCTCTGTTTCTCCCAAGGATCGCTCTGTCCACACTGACTGATGAAGAACACTTACAGACTAACATTTTCCAGTTTGACTGCTTATTTCCCTGAAACAAGCAACCAAAGCAAACTGTTTCCTCCAGGCATCTGGAGGGCATTGCAGCTTTAACTGTCCATCTGAATTCCAGCTGCCAATACATTTCATCTCACTTTAAGGCAGAGGTTTTTGGTTTAGGAAGCTTTGGACCAGCCAGAAATCAAGGAGCCCTGCAGTACACAAATTAGGCAGGCCCCTGCTATGAGAGGCAAATGTGGGGTAGATGACGCCAAAGCTAAGGGAGGATGCTGAGGGCACGCAGCTCAAAACCCTCTGTAGTGGCAGGTTGCAAGAAAGGACTGGAGCACAGCTGGTACCACAGGTATGGTAAAAGAGACCCCTCTTTTTTACCAGGGTGTGAGCCTGGAAAGAGCACACAAAAGGAGCATTGAGAGACATAACTAATGTAAAGGGCAGGGCTCCCCCAGGGATTTTGGAGGAAGTGGTGCTGAGAAGCTGCACAGGCACAAGGGGCTCAGACTGTGCCTGGAGAGGGAGACGAGGCTGGCAGAGGGATGGAGAGCGGAGAAAGGTGCACAGCTGTGATCTGGATGATGGAGATGTTCTTCCTCGGTGCCTGATATGTAGATCTCAAAGCACTTCAGTCCCAGTGTACAGCTGAATTAAAAAAAAAAAAAAAAAAAAAAAAAAAAAAAGGACAGAAAAAAAGCATTGGAAATCACTTGGCAGCGGTGAGTACAGAGATCAGTCATCCAAACCACAGGCCTACGCTCCCTCCATTAGGCACTGCTACCTCTGCCATCACTGTGCTTTCAAAATGCAGTGAATTTGCAGGCATTTAGGTGGCCACAGCATAAAGTCAAGCCTAAATTGCTATTCCTTCTTTACAATTCTCCTCCCTTGCTTTGAACAAACAGAAAGCAGCTCTCAGCACTTCTAGGTAGCTCCTGTGCCTGGGAACCTGGAAGCAGTTCTGATTCACAGATGTCCCTTGCTCCTCGGATCGAATGCACTGCCAGGACTGGTAGACAGGAGCTGTCTAACAGCTTTAATGCACTTGGATTTGTCCCGATAGCGGCGGTAATGCCTTGATTGGTGCTATTGAAACCTCTCCTAAACATATGGTAATACATTCCTCACTGATGTTTCTGCCTTTCAGAACTCAGACCTGGAGTCACCGTTGTCTGCAGTAAGTTCATTCTGTTCCTGCTGCTTTACTGCCTGCCCAGCCAAGGTTTGATGAAGGAATTGATGTTATTTCAGAACAAACTTTGATTAGTTTTTGGATTAAGAAATATATTTTCTCTCAGGTAAGCCTTGCAAACTCAGTTCGGCTTCTGATACTCAAATGACCTTCACTATTCTGGATGGATCACCAGTAACAAAAACTGTGGATGTCAAAGCCAGGGAGTGCCTTAATTACCCTTATTTACTCTTATTACCCTTATTTACCTTTAATTACCCTGATGAGCCTTACCTGGGACCCCCACCAGACAGTCCATTTAACCTGGGGTTCCTCTGTCTTGGAGGTGAGTCTTCCCCAGATATGTTCTTGAGCTGGCTTCTTGGCTTTCTTTGGTTGGCTTTGGAGCTGATGTATCGGTAGGACCCATTTCCATTGCCACCCTGCTCCCCCTGGTGCAGGACTGTGCCTGGTGGGTGAGGTTGTTCCTGCCCTGAGCTGGGGGCTCCTGGCTCCCTGCCCCAGGCAGCAGCACTGCTCTGGCAGCCACGAACACTCTGCAGCTCTGGGAGGATTTTCAGTAGATGCACGATTGTTCATGGGCTTATTTATTAGCTGTTTGAGAGAAAAGTACAGGTGTTATTATGGACTATAATTCTTATGTTTCTTACTGCGCATGGAAATAAAAAAGAAAAGCAATATTTGCAAGTATGAGGTCTTCAGCTCTGTTACAGCCTTAGAGCTTAAGTGGGGCTGAGCCAAGCCTTAGGCATAGCTGATCCCAGGGTGTCCTTCCTGGTCGTCTGCTGGTTTTCTGCAGCTGGGTTCTGGTACTTAGAAGTATTTTTTTGAATTCAGGCTTTTGTTCTGCAGCACTCAACTTACAGCAGCTATCTCCGTGCTTTATTCCTGGATGGAGACATAGGGCTCTGATATGCCTGTTGTAAGACCAGGCCTGTCACGTTGTTTGCTGTGGGACGGCATCTCGTTACGGTGATGGGTGGACAGAACAAGCATGTGAGAACGTCTTCCTTTGTGCCACCAGATGACAGCATCCTCGCTGGGCACACTGCGCTACAGTCAGCGAATATACTCCATGTCTCCATCCGAGGCCTATAGGCAGTGAATAAATCACGATAGGGCAGGTGCCCTTCCCCAGAATGGGCACAGGCGATGTCGCGATGTCTGTGGCACTTGAGAGCAAGCGGTGTTCAGCTGGCACGTCTGAGCCGGCACCGGTAATTCCTCACGGGGCCTGCCAGCAGAGGAATCCAAGCAGCCAGCCTTTGGGGGTGAGCTGAAAATTCACTCTGTTGCTGTGGTGCCCCAAATTCCCAGCAGCATCTATCAAATGGCGTGTTGCAGAACCAGTTTAAATGCTAAGCAAGCTCTGCCTGGTAACTCAGATACCTCCACATTGTGTTTGTTTTTTATTTTTTTCTTGTTGATTTATTTATTTACTGGTATCCAAAGAGAATTATCTGGGGGAAAGAAGATGTTTGCTGATGAATGCTGATGGCACTGCCCTATGGCCCGTGGGATGGGGGAGGAAGAGAGGCGAGGAAGTTCAACGCGTGGCATTAAATGCCACCACGGCCAGGCTGGGTACAGACTTCTCCACGGCCGCAGAGGGACATCTGAGATACGTAATGAGTGAAACCTTTTCCCAGAAATTTTCTTCTGAAGCAATTATTTCTGAAAATAAATGTTTCAGGAGAAAAAGGTATGGATTTTCCCATTGCTGCTGGGCCTTTAGTCTACAGGAACCACCGATGCCATTCTCTGTCTCAAGTCAGAGCACTAAGAGTGAGCTGTGTCCACCTCCTCTGGGTGTACCTCCTGCCAGCCACCCCAGGTCTTCTCCTGGCTGTTATCTCTCTGGCACGGTGCCCCTGGGAGCAATGTGCCCACCCCATGTTCTAAAACCCTGCAGAGCACGGAGAAATGGGGCCCCGAGCCGTTTATGGCACCGAGCTGGGGAACGGGGCAGCTCCTGGTGTCCTTCACCTCCTCCATCCCCACATGGCGCCTCACACCACCTGCCAACAAATATCCTTCAATAAAACCAGAAACGTGTACGGGGCAGATAGAGGCGGTAGGGCTCAGCGTGACGACCACCCTTGGGACCACCTTTGTGAGAAAAACACCTTCAAACTCTAACTTTTGTGTTTATTTTTCTATGGGGGTGGGGGGACGGGCACCGGACCGCAATGGCGGCACCCCCTGCACCGCACTGAGGCGAGCCCGCTCCCGGGGCTCCCCTCCCGAACCAGAGGGGCCAGGGGGCTGCGCTACGAGCCCGGCCGGAGGGCGGCGAGCCGGGGCTCGGCCCCTCCATTCCCTTCCCCTTCTCCTCCCTTCCCTCCCCTCAGGGCCGCCATTGGCGGCGCCGGTGCCGGGCGTGAGGCGGGGCCGCGGCCCCGGAGCGGGGCGGTGCCGGCAGCGGCGGGCGGCAGCAGGTGGCTCCGCACCGCTCGGCTCCGCTCTGCTCCGCTCCGCACCGCTCCGCTCGGCCCCGCAGCGCCCCGCACCGCCTCGCCGAGGCCCCTGCCGCAGCCAAGACGCCGCGGGCCGTGCTCCGAGTGAAGAATGGCGCGGCCAAGCTGGCCAAGCCACCGGCGGCGGCGGCGGCGGCGGGGGAAGCCCCCGGCGGTGCCCCCGGCTCCGGGCTGTTCATGGAGCGGTCGCAGAGCCGCCTCAGCCTCTCCGCCTCCTTCGAGGCCCTGGCCATTTATTTCCCCTGCATGAACAGCTTCGACGAGGAGGACGCGGGTAGGGGGAGAGGGAGCGGTGCGGGCTCGGGGCTGGGTGGGGGGAAGGAGCCGAAAGGGGCTGGGGAGGGGCTGTGGGGGGCTGAGGGGACGGTGCCTGCCCGGCCACCGCTGTGCTGGGAGCAGGTAGCGAGGAGGCTGCGCTCACAGGGGTCGGGGGCTGGCGAGGGAGCTGGGGGCTGTGGGGTGCTGGTGCTTGCCCTGGCCCAAGGTGAGGGCTGGGGGTGTCAGTGGTCCCCATCTGTGGGCTCCTTTTGTGGTCCCCTTCGGCTCCCCAGCCACAAGGAGCGGCTGCCCAGAGGTGGTCCAGCAGCCGCGGTGTGCCCTGGCGCTGGGATGGCCACCAGTACCCATCAGGGAGCGTGTGCCCGCGGAGGTTAGGAGGGAAGGTGTTTCGTGGTGATGAAACATGCTCTCTCTTCCCATCGGTATCGAAATCGGGGTAGATTTGCCAAAGAACGGCTTCAGCATCAGCTGCCTGGTGCTGGCTGCCTCCAGGGAGGAGCTGGGTTTGCTGCCGGACATCGCGGCCGGCTCTCAGGATGGTTGGGCTGAGGGGTGCTGAGCCTTCAGGGCTGGGGAGCGGGGCAATCAGTCCCTTTAAACGAGAGTGAAGTGGATCATGACATACGTGTAAGTGCAGAAGCCTCTCAGAGCGGGTGCGGTGGTTTTTGTCTGCTTTGTAAAGACGTTTCTGGCCTCAAAGAGTTGGCAGTGTCCATAAAATGAGACCGAGCTTCAAAAAGAGGGCTGTTGGGTAAGGAAAAGCAGGAAAGAAATTGGATTGAATGGGAAAGGAAGGGCACCGGGTGCTGGAGAAGGTGCCGGGAGTGGAGGGCAGCACAGCAGCTGTGTGGGTAGGGAGGGCACAAGGCAGTGGATGCAGTGGATGTAAGCACTTCATCCGTCCCCAGCGGCTCACTCGTAAATGAAAGATGTTTTTCACAGTCCGTGCTGTGCCAGAGACCGACCCCATACATGAATCTGAGCAGCAAATAATGAAAGTTGGTAACTAAGGCGTGTTTTAACATGGACTGTCATGGTTGCATCCCTCAAAATGCCGGCATGCTCCTTTGTCTGGGAGCTCATCCCAGGATGTGCAGATGCCAGCAGGAATACATGGGCAAATCAGCACTGCTGCACCTTTAACATTGTTGTTTCTAAAGGAATTGACGTAAGAATAAATTCATCATCTGTGTGATTAACTTATGATTGTCATCAGCATCATGCAAGGATGCCAGGCAGCAGGCAGAAGATTGTATCCTCCAGTGGATAGATATTTATTTTAATGTTATCCTCAACATTTTGCTCTTGATTTATTTTCACTTCATGTTTGGTTTGGATGCCGGGGAGCATGCATGACGATAACGGGAGCTTTGGGAAGTCTTGGCGCTGTTGCTTCAGAAATGACTGATGGTGAGACATGCTGGAGTACAAGCACCCGGCGCGAAGCCCTGAGCAGCATTTCATTCCCTGCTGCCCAGCCCCTTTGCTCGGCGCTGGGCGATGGTTTAAGCAAATGCTTCCTGTTCCAGCGCTTAGAAAAATGGGTTTGCACACAATTGTATTTATCTATTCACACTTAGTGAATGCTCATGCATGAATGCTGATAGGCTGTCTTTATACAGCACAAGTGCTCACCTCTGAATTAAATAAATCTACAATTAAGACCTCATTCTCCAGCAGCTCATTAGAGGATCTTGCCTGCCTGAGTTAGCCTCATCAGTAAAGCTGTTTGGGGTGCTGTGCAGCACACCGGGGATGTTGCAGCATTTGTTTCTGTATTTTGTGCCTCTGAATGTGTGTTCAGACACGTATGAGCAACCGGTGAGGATGAATGTGTGCTGCTTTGTGTTTGTGTGTGTGTTAAAACCAGAAGCCTGGATTTTTTTTTTTTCAAGGAAGTAAATGTCACAAAAGGGAAATGATAAATGATGAAATTGTGCCAGACAAGATTCTGTAATTTTCATACCCATGCGTAGAGTGAGGTTCTGACCAGTTTGGGTTGCAGTGTGATTTCTGTCAAAAAAAATAAATAAAAATCTTGATAGCTCATTCAGGGAGGTGAATGTTGCATATGGCAAGATGTTCTCCACAGGAGGTGGCAGCAAAAAAATAAATAAATTGATCCCACGAGCATTGGTAAAGTAAGCAAGCTTATTTCAAACAGGCACATCATCCATTTTGTCTGAAGCTGAGAAGCACATCTTTAGGAGAATGCTCGTCCTACGGAAAAAGACGAGGAGTTGATAAATGGCCACACCACTCCTTCTGAACAGAGGTGCTTGGGAACTAATGAGAACTCAAATCATCAAACAAGGACAATTTTTGAGTTGTTTCATTTGAGTTACTACAGGTGGGTCAGATTAAAGGGATTAGAAGGAAGTTTTCAGGAGAGCCCATGCTGAGAGGTGTGGTGACATGGAAACAGCTAGCCAGGTTGGGCCAGTGCTGGTACCATCTGGGGGTTCTAGGATGTTTCGCTTTTTCTCTTGAAAAATGGATCTGCTTTTGAGAAATGCTTTTACTTGTAATGCTTCCTTTTTTGTATTGGCCCTTTTGTTAGTGTCCATCTTTCAGGCAGCAGATGAGAAGGCTGTTCTCAGCTTCTCTTCTGCTTCCCACAAAACCGGTGATGATGTGAGAAAACTGATTTCTCAGCAGTGGAGTGGATGCAGATGCTGCTTGTATCACAGCGCACAGAGGCTGGAGGCGAGTATACACAGGACAGTGATGGCAGTGAAGGACCTGGAGCGAGAAAGTGGATTTTCTGAATGCTTCCAGAGCTAATCACCCCATGGGGAGGGGGTGATAGAGCCTCAGATGTGTGCCGTGGCAAATAAGATCACGTGCCTGTCTCTCCAAAGAGGTGGATGTGGAGTGGCACTGAAATTTGCTCTCCTGTGTTGTAATACCCTGTTCATTCCTCAGCTGCTTACACAAAGAGGATACTCTGAGCAAACACTGAGCTCTGTTCGCTGGTAAGCTGCAGTGGGGCTCTGAAATAACAGAAATTACTGTCTGCACTCAATAGTGTAAGGACTCTAGGTTAATAACTCTTTTGATCTCGGCATGGTAACGTTGCTGTGCTTCCTGCCGGCTGAGTGCTGCTGCCTTTGCTCCACGAAGGTCCCCATCAATGTCAGCGGAAGGTAAGGATTCTGAAACTGCGGTTATTATCTGCTTAGGTGTTGGTTTAACTTATGCAAATGCCTGTCCTGAACTCTGTTAGTTTTTCCCTAATGGAGTAGTAGACTAAAAAGAGTTTTTTTTAAAAAAAATTAAGCATAAATGTCCAAACGGTTACATGCGTCTCCGTACAAAGCAGGGTGGTTTGCCTTGGTTGCACTTGTCCTGGGGATTATTCCTCTGCCCTGCTGGCCTTTGAGGGCCTGCCTGCCATCCTGGGGCCCTCTCCTGACTTGCTTTGCCTGCTGTCCATCACCAGCATGTTAAATGTGACTGACTGCACTCTGTGCACATTTCTCTAGAAATGCAAGCCTTAAACCCATGCATATTTCTAACTAAGCACAAATCTTGGTTGTGTGAAGGATCCGCCTTACTCTTGTTCTTGCTCCTGGCTGGAAGCAGCAATTTGCTGTGCTGGTGACAACGTTTCAGAAGGGCCTGAACTGCCAGGTGGCAAGTGCACGTGGCTTAAAAATAGGCTGTCAAGGACTGGCGATGGCTGTGGGAACCTGCCTTGGGGACAGCTCTCGAGCTCTGTGTGCAGGTTGCAGTCAAGAACCCCGAGCAGTGTGGAGCAGGGTGCTGGAAATCCACCGCGAGAGGTCTTGGCACTGTCCAGGACCGAGGAGGATCCTTAGGGTCAGTGGGGATGTTCTGCTGAACCCTCTGCTTGCTGGCACTGCAGAGAGCCTGCACGTCCCAGCTGTGGGGCTTGGAGTTTGGGGAAATTCTCTAAAGCAGAGCAGAAGGCGAGGATTTGGTAGAGAGCAGTAGCAGTGACTTGGAGCTGTAGGTGCAAAACCCTGTGGGCTTTGGGCAGGAGAGGGGAGGTGGTTGTACGGTGGGGGCAGTTGGTGTAAGAGGGGTCCTGGTGGGAATCCAGGAGCAGTCCTTGGCTCTGAGGAGAGGGGAGCCTCCAGCCAGGACCCTGTGCGCTGCAGAGGACACAGATCCTACCTGAAGACACACAGGTGGGGAAGGGCTAAAGATCACTGAAGTAAGGGCAGCCTGCTCTGAAGTCTGTGGAACCTGCATGTCCTGCAGTGTCCCTGAGGAGTGGCATTGTCGTCCTGAGTGCTCTCAGAGCTGGTCCTCGGGGTTCCTGAAGACACTGTGCGTGAACCTCAGGATCCAGGAGCACTTCTCATGCCCGAGTGTCTGCTCCAGCTGTGCTGGGACTAAAGGGTGAGGGGCAGGCATGCACCAGCTCCTTTCTGTTCCATCCTGAGTCCTGCCTTCCTTGGGAAGGAAACCTGTTTGCACTGGGAGCAGGCATCTAAAGCATGCCCTGACAGAGAGACAGGTTTGGATGTCTGGGAGCCTGTAACCACGGGTCGTGTTGCAGATACAGCTGCCCTGAAGTCCAGGCATCCCTGAGCATCCGCACAGAGGTAAACTCACGTGAGTTACAGGGATCCTACACCCGTGAAAGCCTGGAGAGCGAAGAGGCTTTGATGAGGAACCAGCAGGAGCCGTGGTGCAGCTGCAGAGGACACGTCGGAGTGCAGCAGGTCGGAGGACCACTGCCACGGCCACGAGACGGCAGGAGGAGATCGTGCCTCAGCCAGCTGGAGCCAAGTGTCTGGCAGAGAGAAAATGGTTTCCAAAGTCAAAATGTCTCCTAGATACTGCCAGTAAGCCTTCTTGTGGCAGCTGCTTGTTCGGAAGAGAGTTGAGCTCGAGATAAAATTCAGCCTCGGCTGCTGCTTTCACACGCTATCGAGTACTGGCAGATGCGCTGCGCCACGATCAATTGCTTTGAAGAGCAACTGTGTGAAATGTTAATTCAGTGGGTTGGTAAACGGTTAATAC